TCAGATGCTTCCACAAAAATTTAAACCTTGAAAAAAGAATTAGTAATAATAATAATATTCAATGTCTTGTTTAGCATTACATATAGATGTATGGCTGCTTCATTTTGGGCAGCTAGTTATTATCATGATTTGCTTGTCCTCGATGAAACAGAATAACCTATTCTGTCTAGGAAGCCTTCCTTCAAGTAAAGTAATTTGGGGATCCAAGAGCTAAAACAACTTAATTTAGCAAAAATCATATAGATTCCATCACAACTGATGGAATCTATTCATCAAATTGTTCTATCTGAATGAGAGTTGCACGCTCTCTAAGTTATGACAACCTTATGCTTCGAAGTATAGGACCATCTCACTGCAACTAATGAGTTATTAACAAAGGGATCGAGTTGACTGAACTTTCAAACTCACTTGGTGTGACCCTTACGTGGATGTCTTGGCCAGAAAGGAATTCATTGCAAACTCGAATTTGTGTTAAATTAGAATGTCCATCCAGTACCTTAATTTGGGTCCGTCCATCTAAATTTTCACCCAGATTTATTTCTCAAGACAATTGGTCTTAGATTCATTTGCTATCTTTGCTTTCCTGTTGGATTCCTTGTTCTTGGTGGCATTTGGCCAGGTAGGCAATAGTTTGATAACCTTATGAGGATTTTCTGTTGTGCATTTTGGCATTTGGTCTTAAATTCTTAAATGTTATTCTGGTGTGCATTTTTTTTGTTTCATGCATGGAACAGCCACTGAACCATTTTTTGCAACAATTTGTGCAGGGCTTGATGCAGCACCATGAAGAAATAGTGGATTACTTCAAAACTCGAGGTGTTGCTGCTATCTTTCTCTTTCGAAGAAATCTGTTGCGCAGGATGATATCTGTGCTTGCAAATTCTTATGATCGAGATGCTAAGCCGCTGAACGGGACCCATAAGTCTCACGTGCATTCTCCTCATGAGGTCTCTCCCTCTCTCATATGCAAGATATTTACATGGAAGTCGATTGGTTGTTTACCTTAAAACACTAAAAACTAGTAATTGTTTGATTTGCAAACTTATTAAATGTCATGGTTGCAGGCTGAGATACTTGCAAAATACAAGCCTACAATCAATGCAACTTTACTGATACCTAACCTGAAGCAAGTAGAGGATACAACTATGAAAGCTTTGGAGTATTTCAAAAGCACCCGGCATATTATCCTATACTATGAGGATATTGTTAAAAACCGAACTGTAAGAGAAACTATATGAGCACTGAACTGATCAGTATATTTGTTTTAAAAAAAAAAATAGCACCAACCTCTGAAATTTTCAATTTTGTGTGTTTGCAGAAATTGCTAGATGTTCAAGATTTTCTTAAGGTTCCACAAAGGGATTTAAAGAGTCGTCAGGTGAAGATACACAAAGGCACCTTGTCTAATCAGATTGAGAATTGGGGTGATGTTGAAAAGACACTTACAGGAACACAGTATGAAAACTTCCTCCATGCAGATTATCAACGAAGGTAAACAGCACCGGGGCGATGTATATACCATGCTTTGTCCTTT